GGAAGGGGCGGGCGGTAACGACCTGAACTTTCCTTTACTAGGTTGGAAGCATATTATTTTCAAAATTCAGTAGATCATATTCTATTAGGAAAGCACAGAAGTGTGAAAATATGAAAGCATTTGTTACGGGCTTGGAGCTAAGGTTTCGCAGTCGATCTGACTTGTCGGGTCTCTAATTCTCGCGGCATCCGTGAGGTGGGTGTGGCCTTATTCCCCTGATTCGTGGAGTGAGTAAAGAGAAATCCCAGGATCAGAATGGCACATCGGGAATACAAACCCTTCTCCTGCTAGATTCCTAACACGGGCCTTCCCCTTCGGACAATGATGGCTAGTTATCCGACACCTAGAAGCCAGTAGTAGAGACAAAGTAAAAAGAATTCATCAGACAGGAGGTCTGAAATTTTGAAAGGCACGTTGAAACTGAAAAATCTCTGGCAGTCATGATATAAAAGAATTCCTTTTAATAATAAAACTTATTCAGTAAGGGTTACTCTCTGGTGGCCTCTGGAGTTTTGGCACCTTGACTTAAGATCAAATGGTTCAGCCCGCGTTTCTTACCAGATAGAATTACACGGGGAAAGGGAAGGAGTGCTCATCTAGGATAGGTTTTGAAGGATGGGGAAAGGCACGGTGAGCTTTACACAAAGCCTATTGTTCAGATATTATTCATTACCTTTCTTTTACCAACACACAGAATAATCCTGCCTGTTGGATGATTTTAACCTTCAGTGGGATTTGGTAGAAAGAGTGGCAGTCAGAAGACCTGGGATTCGTTCCCATCACGTATCTCTACCTAACCGTGGTTAAGACGCTATCTCTAAGCCTGTTTATTCGTCAGCCAAACGAATAGACTACAATAAACTTTGTCAAGCTCAAAGAATTGTTGAAAAGATCAGATGAGATAATGCATGTCAAATAAGATTTAGAATTTATAAAACATTATATAATGAGTTATAACGGGCATTTCCTACATGCCAGAAATTGTTGGGCACTGGTAATTTAAAAAGAGCCCTTTGCACTTGTAGTCTAGGAAACAAACATGTAGACACATATTAGCCCAAGGAAGCAAATGCTATAAGGAAAAAAAAATTTTTTTTAATGCTGGTAATACAGCAGAGGACACAAGTCACTTTACTGGGGAAGTTGAAGAAAGGGGAAGTACCAGGGAAGGCTTGTGACAAGATGTGCTATTTGAGTTGGACCTTGTTGGGTAAATTCAGTATATGTTCAGAGGGATGGAAAAGCAAATAGCCTGAGCAAAGGTGCAGTCGTGTTACAATGCATGCCTTGGGAAAGCCAAGCATTTCAGTATAATTAGAACACAAAGTTCATGGAAGTGGAATAACCAGAAAAGCAGACTGAGCAGGTTATGTTGAGTCTGTATTAGCAATTGTATAACTGTCAATATAGAAAACTATATTAACCATTGTATAAATGTTAATATAGAAAAATTATTCAGTTCCAATATAGGCTGCCATTATGGAAAATATACAAGAAACATAAAGCACCATCCCTCATCACTAGGGTGATGAACCATTCCAGTCTGCCCAGGACCAAGGAGTTTCCTAGGATGTGGGACTTTCCGTCTTAAAACCTGGAACTTCCCAGGCAAACTGGAATACGTCAGTCACTGTACTTACCACAAAAATAATCCACAGAAACTTGATCATAATATTCCATAATATCTCTGAAAATATAGGCAGTAATCCATTTGTTTTTTGTAGGGAGCCTCATGCAATCTTTGGATTTCCTAATGCATTTCCTTCCCATGTTTGGCAAATGTGCCAAGTGTTCACGCTTACCTAAGTAGAGCTACAGGTACCAGGTCTGTGACTGTGTAAATAGAGCTTATGGAATGCACAGGGTTAAGATTTTTATCTGTAACCAATTACTGTCTTTATCCCCTAAAAAGACATCTGAGCTCAAGACTAATCCTCTCTAACCCTATCTGTTTTTAAGATGAAATGTGAAAATATACTTACTCAATCCTTCCTATAATTAACAAAAAAAAAAAAGAAAAAAAAAAGCCAAACTGTACGTCTCTTGTGTCACCGTAAAGATTGGAAAGTGATAAAGCATTTGTGTATTTTGGTCTTCTTGGATGTTATACACCAGAGCTATGGAAACTTTCTGAATGGCTATTGAGCACTTGAAATGTGGCTGGTGAGACTGAGGAACTGAATTTTTATTTTTAAATATTATTTAATTTGTGTGAACTTAATATTTAAATAGCCAGACATGTCTAGTGGCTATCATTTTGGACAATAAAGTTATATAAGAACCATTTTATATGCTTTTACATGGGCTGGAAACAGAGAAAATATTTTTGGAACATTGAGAAATCTCAATCTCAATGGCTGTAGGCTTCAAATTAGGACATACTTACTGGTAACAGCATAGTTTATTTATAAAAATAAATGTTTGGGCTGCTTAAATGAAGCCAAATGAAGAACTATTTCTGCCTTTGCTAATGCAATCTCTCTGTGGTTAGCTTCAAAAACCCTTGTGAAGTAATTAAGAAATAAACATTTCATTTTCAAACTCCAGCTGAAATGAAGCTTAATGATTTAATCAAATACACATTATTCATTGATAAAATAATGATTTCCCATTAAAGTTTTTAAGTTTATTGCTTTCAACTTCATGATGACGAATCAAGTCAGAGGGCTAGGGTCAGAGATGATTATTTCTTCTAAGTGTTAATTTCATCTTTTAAATATTCTGATGTTTCCTATGTCTAAAATTCTCTCTTCCTTTGATCTCTCATGTCTGCTCTGTCCTCACGCCTCTTTTGCCTTTTGCCCCACTATTTAAAATTATCGAATCATTCCTACTTACAATTTCCAGAAATATGTTCTGATTTTCTTGTGATAATTAGAGAAGATAGTTTTGTTTTGTTTTTTAATTTTTATTTATTTATTTGGCTGCATTGGGTCTTCGTTGCTGTGCGCAGGCTTTCTCTAGTTGCGGCGAGCAGGGGCTACTCTTCGTTGCAGTGAGCGGGCTTCTCATTGTGGTGACTTCTCTTGTTGCAGAGCACAGGCTCTAGGCGCACGGGCTTCAGTTGTTGTGGCACGTAGGCTCAGTAGTTGGGGCTCGCGGGCTTTAGAGCGCAGCCTCAGTAGTTGTGGCGCACGGGCTTAGTTGTTCCGCGGCATGTGGGATCTTCCCAGACCAGGGCTCGAACCCGTGTCCCCTGCACTGGCAGGCGGATTCTTAACCACTGCGCCACCAAGCAAGCCCAAAGATAGTTGTTGTTTTCATTTGTTTTCTTTATTTTATCAGTAGCTTTTGAACAGTTTTGATTTTGTATTTACAGACCAAAACTGTTAGGGATAGCTCATTACATTAAATGGATCAGAGTAGTAAATCAAGAATATTATATGGTCTAAAAAATTATTCTAAGGTAATTGAAATGTTTTTAAATGTCAGAATGACTATGGTCTATTTCAGTCTTCATTCCATCCACCCACCTTTCTCTCTTCCCTTCTGTAGCAGACTTCTCTGTTTTAACCATATATGTCTTTTAAACCAGTGGTCCCCAACCTTTTTGGCACCAGGGACCGGTTTTTTGGAAGACAGCTTTTGCACGGATGCGGGGTTAGGGGGATGGTCAGGCGGTAATGCGAGCAGTGCGGAGCGAGGGGGAGCGGCAGATGAAGCTTCGCTGGCTCACCTCCTGCTGTGCGGCCTGGTTCTTAACAGGAACCGCGCCCCCACTCCCCCACCCCCGCAGGGGTTGGGGACCGCTGTTTTAAACCACTCAGTGGAGTTACTTTTTTTTTTTTTTTTTTGTGGTACATGGGCCTCTCACTGCTGTGGCCTCTCCCGTTGCGGAGCGCAGGCTCCGGACGCGCAGGCTCAGCAGCCATGGCTCACAGGCCCAGCCGCTACGCGGCATGTGGGATCCTCCCGGACCCGGGCACGAACCCGTGTCTCCTGTGTCAGCAGGCGGACTCTCAACCACTGCGCCACCAGGGAAGCCCTGGAGTTACTTTTTTTAATGAGAAAACCACCATCATGCAGAAACACCAAAACTTCCACACCATTGTTTCTCAAATATGTTCATATATGGTGAGTGAGCACTTGAAGCTATTGCTAGATTATTACGACATGATATATTCAATTCCATTATTCAAACTAATAATTTATCGAGCATATGACAATATTATATGCTTCTAACACATAACATAACCACTGATTCTTATTTCCAATACAAGTAAAACCAGTCTGCTAAATTGAGCATAATAGGTGATTCTCCCAGTCTTCTACTGTATTTGATACACATTTATTTGTTTAAATGAGTCATGGTAGAGCAAAAATTTAACAACAGTTGTTACAGCAAGGTTAAGATTTAGAAGATTCTATTCACTAACTTTTTCTTTAGCATGGTGAAAAATATTATTATTCAATTTTAATAGAAAATACCTAAAACTAGTGTTATGCACGAACATGATTTGAGAACTACTGGTTCAGACTATTCTAAGTTGAATTACATTGTCAAGTTTCAATGAGACGTGGTTTCCAGGTGGGCATTTGCTCAGTTCCTAGCTATTTTGCAATTTTTTTTTAACCATAAAGCATAAATTGGAAAAGCAAGACTGGGAGAGGAGGGAATCAAAACAATAAAACAAACCCTAACCTGGATTCAACTTGATTAAATGGTAAATATTTTCATTCTTTTTTCCGTTCATTAGCTTGGGAATACCTGGTATGGCTGATAAGTCAAAAATGCCAGAAATATAATTCTCCTTTGGAAAAAGCCTGGCCAAGTGAGGGAAAGACCCAGTTTCCTCTGAATAAACAATTACTGTATCCAATGTTCCAGACCTATATCCAGAAAAACAAAGTTTAAAATGGCAATTGTCTGCTTCTTTGCCTCCTACCAAAACAAACATTAACATACAATGTGAGACAACTAGCAAAATATTTTAAAAATAAGATTTATTTCAAGCAACTATACTCCAATAAAATTAAAAAATATTTCTTTATTTTACCAATTTTAATTTATATTGCATTTATTTTATACTGTGTACATCTATATATAAATTATATAATTTTAGTAGGGTTGAGTGCTCAAAATATTTTTCCTAATAAAGATATGTAATTAAAAAACTGAGGGGAACCAATTTACTACCAAATAAGTGACTTGAAGGCTTGAGTCATTCAGGATTTGTCTTTATTTCTTCCATAGAAGCTAACTTTGAGCTTTGTGTGTGGTATACAATGAATAACTATTTGTAGAATTAACATTTTTTTCCTCTTACATATTTTAAAAGCTGCTCTTTTCCACTGAGTCTATTTTTGTACATGGTGGGGATTTTGAGAAGTATTCCCTCTTGGATCATCTGATCTATTCCCAGACTGTTGGTAGAGTTGATTTTTATTATTCCTAATTTACCCCTGATGGATGAGTGTCAAGTGCTACTTTGAATATCATTGGTAAAGGTGAATTCATTATTTCCCTTGCAAAAAAAAAAAAATACAGCGTGAAAGAGCAATGCTCAGTTTCATCATGCACCACTCTCCTCCCACTTCACTATACCTCCCTCCCACTAGCCTCCTTGCAGTTCCTCAAACTGAGTTTTTTCTTGCCTCAGAGTTTTCACATACATAATCCTTCAACTGGAAGTCTCTTCTCCTCACTGTCAGGCTTACTCACCCATCCCTAAGGTCTCAGTCTAAATGCCATTTTTTCAGGGAGGTCCCCATTTTATACTCCCTTCTACTACCCTATACTTTTTCTTCACAGCACTTATCACAGTTGTAATTAACAAATACCCACATAAATGTGTATATAGTGTCTCTTGCTTTCTAGACTGTAAGCCAAAGCTCTCCGTTTCTTTTTATCCAACACCTAGCACAGTGTCTGGCACAGTTGTCCTTAACACTCCATTCTTTGAAAATAGTTGAATAAATAAATAAATATTTTGTAAATTTGACTTAAATGAACAGCTGAGAACAATGAGATTCCATAGGACTTCATCATTTTGTGCTGAGCCATTCTTCCTCCCTTCTCTCTATTGCTGCTTACCACGCATTTAAATTCTGTCTAGTCATTGTGGTATTCCTAGAGGTGCAAGAATCATTATTCAGTTGGGCGACTCATCATGACTCCATCAGGATTCTAACTTCTGCAAGTTTTTCAACTGCCAGTCATTTTCCTATAGCAGCCTTGGATGTCCCTTCTAGAGTATCCAAGGTATTGTTTAAAATCACAGACCACGTGTTCAACTGAACTGTCATTATCATGATATTTCCAGTATTTTGAACTAGCAGGAGATGACTGTTATCATCCACACACTCACACAAAAATTACGACTTCCTCATTTTAGTCAAGTGGTATTTGTACCATCCCATCATCTTTAAGCATGTCCTCCCTTGCAGTGTGACTGACAGACCGAGGTTCTCTTCTTGGCCACCGTAGGTGTTAAATGAAAAAGATATGAAAGATTCTAGGCTAGTAAGGATGAGAGTAAGGAAATTAACATTTATTGAGCACATAGTATGTGCCAGATATGGTACAAATATATACTCTCATTCAATCCTCATGACAACCCTGTGAGGTAGGTAGTATCCCCTTTTCACGCATGAGGAATCCCTTTTCTGACAATGTAGATTGCCTCTTGAATTTTTCTGTTGTCATTAGCTTTCATTTATCTACTGTTATCCTCCCTCTTGGAGAGATTTTGGCAACTGTATAACCTGAAAAGCCTACTTTCACTCAATAAATATGAATTTAATGAAATAAGTTTCACAGTAGATCACTGGATGATTGAAAATGGGAACCTATCATCCTTCCATCTCGGGTTACATCCTTTTCTAGCCCTTTTAAAGACGTCCTTGCCTACTAAGTACTTTTGCTTGACTTCCATATTTCCCATTTATTAAATGCACAGTGTATTCATCTCGACCCAATTGACCCTCTGGGCTCAGTCTCCCTAGTCTCATAGAGGCCAGGAAGCCAGACTGTTGAAAAGTACATGTTGAATGTTCTTAATCATGAAATGACCCCTCCAGCTTCTAGTTAAAATAGTACCAACAGGGTTCACCTACCTTAGAATTAGATCAAAGGGGGCCATATTTCTCCTATATACACCTTAGGGGGAGCTCAGAAGTCTTCCTTAATGGTTCTCCTTCAGCCCTGCATGAACGGACCAGGAATGAAGTCCTGTATGTCCTTCCTCCCCCTTCTCTCTGAAGGATGACCTTGGTCCTCATCTATACTCCTGAGTAAGTAGAACCTTCAATTTTCTTCTCATCAATTCCTTTATCAGCTTTCTCTTCCCTCATTTGATTCCAATTTTCTGGACCTTATAATAGTCTAGATAAAAGCATGTTTCAAAGAAAACCAGCCTGTGGTGGGAGGGACCAGCTTATCTGTGCCATGCTGCGACGAACGCTGCAGACTTGTAAAACCTCCCTTGCGTTGACGCGGTCCATCCCATCTACCCTGCATCTTCAGGACTGGGGTAACAGAAATGAAACTGTACTTCTCAGTCTCGAGGGTATATGCTGTGTGCAGCCTCATCTAGCATCATTTCAGGTTTCTGGGGAAATATGTAGGGGAAGATGCAGGATCCATGTCCCATTCCTCCCTTTATGTCCCACTAGAAAGTCTTGTCTCTGTTCTTGGAGGAATTGGTTCCAAGAGTATATGATCTCCCAAAAATGTGTGCTGCCCCAGGATCTTCAAAGGATGCTACAGCTATAGGAGAGACTCTCCACGCTGACGCCTGCCACAGCTGCGTACAATTCAGGCACCACCAATTCTGGTACTTGCAACACAGCCTTGTCATTTGCAGTTCGAGCGGCAGTTTCTAGGCGTGAGTGTAGCTCTCTAAGTGAGGGGCGGCTGTCCTCACTCCAACGCCAGCAGGACTTCATGAGACCGTACCTGAAAGGAAAACAAGAGAAACAAGAGAAACTGTCTCGTCTCCTAACAAACCTTAACAAAAGAAACCTATGAGTCTTTAACCTACTTCTCACTGCTGTGTCCCACATGCTTCCCAGAGAATACTGTTCCTTCTCATCCTCCTAATGCTAAGTCTCTTAATATCATCTTCTCAACAGGACCCTTTATATAAAAGGAATGACTAAATATTTCTTAAACTACAATCAGTATGACAGAACAGGTTTTTTTTCCATTAGATTACCAAAAACTCTTAAGTGATTTCATCTTGCATGTTATTAATTTGCATCATTCCAAACCATTGCTATAACTTATCTACCAGTATGAGCTACATTACAGCAAGGAAAATGAGAAGGTATGGAATAATACGATTCATACTAATTTCAGCTAATGTAATTAGATGGTTCCTTCCTTTAATCCAGGTCATTCCCCCCCTTTATTACTTAGCTTCTCCAGGAAATTGCCTTAATCGAGATAGAAGTACTTACCACCTTTAATCTGTCTTTGCTTCAATCCAGTTTCTAGAGAATTTACAACATAGCCTGTTTTCAAACACTCTTCATCAAGTCTCATTCCTGCCCAAGAACCTACAGTGATTTACCACTGCTCACCATATAAAGTCAACATCCCACCCCCTAGCTTCTTAGCATATAGTTCTTGCCTAACTGAAGCCCTCTCCTCCTGACAAGTCAGTGTCTTGCTATGCCCTAGATGTGGTTAGTAACACCCAACTCCGTCTTTGCTCGTGCTCTGCCCAATTCCTTGAATATCCTTTCCTACAGATTTAAGTCTCAATTCCTTTCCTTATAAACCTCAGCATGCACTGTGTTTCCCACACTCTTTAATGTTGTACGATGAGACTTTGTAGAAGATGCTACTTTAATAATACTGCTAATGTTTTACCAAGAACTTACTTATTATAAAAGGCATGGTAGGGGAACTTAACATGCATTATTTCATTGTAGCCTCACAATAATTTTGAGGTAGGGTTATCATTATACCTATTTTAAGATAAGTAAACAACGCACAGTAAAGTAGTAGGACTAGGACTGAACGTGTGTCTTTTTGACTCTGTGAGATGAATCTGAGCTTTTAACCATTCTACTTATTGCCTCAAACTTTATGTTGATTTTCATGTTGTTTCTGACATCCTTCTTCAAGACCAGGTACTTTATCAGTTAAATGTCTCTCCCCAGTATCAAGGACAGCCTTTTATACACATAAAGCCTATGAGAAATATTTGTCAACAACTTCATTCTAGTATACCCAGCCAGTATCACTATACTGTGTGTATATGTGTGTATATACACATAAAAATATATATCAACAGTTATGATATTTAACATTTTTAACATGCTTGATGCTGTAACTGTTTAATGTTGGGAAACCCAGGTGCTGGAAATTTACCTTTTCAGTGCTGAAAAATTTACAAAATAGCAACAACTTTAATAGAAATGTATATTAATATATTAACTCCTGTCTTCTTAAAAATAATTTAACCTTTTCTTATGTTCTATAACAACCTTTTTTTGTACTTTATTGGTTATAAAATTCTGAGTGTAATTTAAAATTTTTCCATTTTCTGCCTCTACGTTAGTTCACCAATTGTCCCTTTCTGCTGACAATTTGATATCCTCCTTCTCCTGCCTCATTTCTTCTCACCCCCACTTTTGGTTGGCTTCCAACATGCTTAGAACTGGGAAAACAGATAATCAATATGTTTTTAAGTTAAATATTAAATAGGAACCAGTGAGTAATTGTACTGCAATGGATTTTATGACAACTATATTAGAACTGAAGCCAGTAGTCTCTAACTGAGACTGACATTTAAATAGATAAAACACTACTGTATTTGCATTGGATTTGGTCTATTTTAAAAGCTTCCAGAAGAACTAAGCTTTAACAACGTTAGCGAACTTAAATTTCTAATATAGTACTCAGTGGTTGCCTCAATATTTTGTGTGTGTATGTATACACACATACAGATGAAATACATATACATGTACATCGTATATGTGAGCAGATGTGTTTTACTGCAGAGGTTTGGTTTAGGGTTGTACATTAGCACATAAAGGACAGCTGAGGGTCATCTGAGCCACTTTGAAAGGAGCACGACTGATGAAGAGCAAAAAAAGATTTTAAAAACTATTTACATGGTGTGTGTGCAGCTACTGGGTCTCTTCATGATTTTCCTCCTTTGGAGATGCTGTAGGATGCTGGTAGGGGGGATTTCAGGATATGGAGGTGCCCCTGTTGGTATGGAAAGAATGAGAGAAGTAAGAGAACTTAAGGGTCCTCAGAATACAAAGTATAACTAACACTACTCTCCATCCACCTGGGCTAATTACCTGCAAAAGTATAGCCATAGAAAAAATAATAGATATAATATAATTGCTCCCTGGTGATCAAGTAAGGATATAGCTTAGAGAATTTTGGAAAAAAAGAGATGGGGGTGGGTACTGATAACTTAGCAGAACGTTGAGTCTTTAGAAAAGTAACAAAATAAAGCAAAGTGAGAAATAAGATCTGCCCTCTACTTCCCAAACATGAGAAGGTGCTATAGTTTCTCCATCAAGTGGATTAATAAATCTAAAGACAATATTTTTATGTTTATGCAAGATCATCCTTGGATTTAAAAACATCCCATGGAATTGGTAAAGTCTTGAGGGAAAGAAAGAGAAAGAAAGCAAAAGAAAGTTAAAAACAGAAGAGGGAAGGAGAGAGAGAGGGAGGGAATCAAGACATTACAAGACTATCTCAAAAATCAGGATTCTATGTCAACTCAGTTCAACCTTCAGAGATTGTACCGAAACTCCTTCTCATAGCAAATGTCATCCACCACCCAAATAAACATCCTTGTATATTTTTGTATAGGTGCACACTACTTTGGGGATCCTCCTTACCTAGAGTCACCATCTCGTAGAGCAGTATCCCAAAAGACCAGCTGTAAAAGAAACAAGGCCATGGATTTAATTTCTATTTCTGCCTTTCGTAAAGACAGCTCACTTAAGTACCAGAGGCCTTCAGTAAGAACCCCATTACAAAGGCAATGAAAGGGAATCAAGGGTGACTGATACAATAAGCAATGAGGTAGTGCCATTAGAAAGCATTTCTGTCCAATCCCCTTAGAATCTAATCTATTTGAGTACTGAATTTATGTCTCCTTTTTTCTATATTACACATTAATAGATATTTACCATTATTTGCTAAATTGTGAGTGTTTGTGCAAACATGCAAACATATTCGCCCAAACATACAGAAATTCCCCTCTGCATCTTTTTCATCCTTTCCATTTCTCCCTGCTGAAATTCTAGCCTTTATTCTTAGCTCAAGGCCAAGCAAGTTTTATCATTTATCTACTATTTCCTCAGTAGATCTAATTGCCCAAACCTAGGAAAAATATTAACATAACAAGTTTTATACATAATTGGAGTAGGCATTTGCCTAAGCAATATGATTCAAGAGATGTATATTTCACTATTCTATAATATCATCATTAAATGAGCAATATTTCCCAGTTAAGCTCTCAAAGCTCCCAGACCTCTATTCAAAAGGAGATGTCAGCGAAACAGCAATGAAATAAAAAAGCAGTCTTCTGGGGACTTCCCTGGAGGCCCAGTGGTTAAGACTCTGCACTTCCACTGCAGGGGGGCATGGGTTCTATCCCTGGTCGGGGAACTAACCTCCCACATGCTGCACGGCACAGCCAAAAAATAAATAAATAAAATAAAAAAGCAGTCTTTTAATTGACTCACCACATCAACTGATGTTCTAAATTTCCCCCGCAACTCATAACATTCATGGCTAGTAAGATATTCTATATTATGTTTATGTGCTCCTCCGAGCAGTTGAGTTATATGGCTACCAAAAGTCAATCGCAGTTCTTTACAATCCTGTTTATGCCAATCCTACATGTAACTGTAATTATGTAAGCAATTAAATATTATGTAAGCTGATTAAATATACATGCCCAAAGCATTAGCTCCCTGAAAACTAGATTGAATGCTTTGAAAATATTCTATAAAACCAAGCTGCTAAAAAGAAAGTGTTGTCAAATTGCGTGGGTGAGACAACTGTAGAAAACTGGGAAAAAATTAACAATAAGTGTCTGTAGTCAAATTGCGTCACAAGTGTTTTCAAGTTTCCCACTCTATTTAGAGTCATCCCAAACTGAAACTCAAAAATAATTCATTATGGATGCTACTTATACAAGAAACACAACACGTAACTTCATTTAGCATAGCAGGTCTATCCCCTTGGCCCTCCGCCAAAAGACTGATAATTAAATATCTATTTATATGTTTTAAGTTAAAATAAATTGAGTATACACACACATATGTACTTATTTTAATAAGTCCTAGTTTAACTAAACTTTTGATTAAGCGGACCTACCTCTTTCAGATAAAACTAGATAAACAGATAAAACTCCACCAGATTAAGTCCTCAGATACTAGCACGAATAATCTATTCATTTTTTTCTCTCCTAATTAAGGTTTCTAATCTAACACAGAGGGAATACTTCAAAAGGCACTAAAAAGGATTGCAGGCAGATGCCAAGTGTGAGCTCTGCCACATAACACGCATTTTTGCTTGAGAGTCTGACTTCTCAGTAGACGTTTCATGTGGAGACATAATTGACAATAGATGCAGTCATGTTCATGAGCTGGAGGACACCTGGGTCAAGAAAGGAAGAAGTCCATAGGGCAGGGCAGGAACAAACCATACATGTCTCCTTTGATGCCAGCTGATCTCAGCTGAAGCCGTTCTGGGGCGAGCCACTTGAGAGGTACGATGCGAGTAGACGAGATGGCCCCTCGGGAGTGGACTTCATAAGCCAGGCCCAGTCCGCAGAGCTTAGCAGTGAGATCACACTGGATCAGGATATTCCTGGCTGCCACATCCCCATGGAACAGATGCTTATCCTGGAGAAATTCCTGTCAACATGAGATCAAAGATGGATCAGCTTTCTGAGGTCATGGTGTAGGTCACAGATAAAGAGAAACAAATCCTTGAAAAGAAAAGTATATTTTCTACTCTGAACAAGCCTCATTAATAATGACATATTGCTTCCAAGTATGTATTAATTTTTTAATTAATTTTTATTTATTTATTTTTGGCTGTGTTGGATCTTTGTTGCTACACGCGGACTTTCTCTAGTTGCAGCGAGCAGGGGCTTATGGTGGTGGCTTCTCTTGTTGCAGAGCACGGGATCTAGGCACACGGGCTTCAGTAGTTGTGGCACGCGGGCTCAGTAGTTGTGGCTCTTGTGGCATGCGGGCTTAGTTGCTCCACAGCATGTGGGATCTTCCTGGACCAGGGATGGAACCTGTGTCCCCTGCATTGGCAGGCAGATTCCTAACCACTGCGCCACCAGGGAAGTCCGGCTTCCAAGTAGTTATAATGAATCAGACATGTTTGCATTGCGTTTAAGATTAGCAAACTGATACCAATACTTCATTCCTTTTTTTAAAAAAATTAAAAGACTTTTTTTAAGGAGTTGTTTTAGGTTGACAGCAAAATTGAGTGGAAAATCCAGAGCACTCCCACATCCCTTCCCTCCCACTTCATAGTTTCCTCTATTATTAACAACTAGCATCAGTGTGATACATTTGTTACAACTGATGAACTGATACTGATACACTATTTTCAACTGAAGTCCAGAGTTTACTTCAGGGTTCACTTTTCGCATTGTACATTCTCTGGGGTTTGACAAATGATTTACACATTTTGGATACGTTGATATACCCTTATATTTTTGAAGACACATGTATTAGTAAATACACTAGCTTTGCTTTAAAACAAACAAACAAAGCTTAGCAAACAGCAAATAATCCAAATAACATTTGTACTGGGTTTGGAAATTATAATCTCCTACTCTGACCCTGACCCTGGCCTGATTTTCCTCTCAGATAGGACCCAGCTAGACAAGGGGAAGGAGAGTAGGTTTCAAGTTTCTAGCAGCAGTCTCCCAAACAGGGTAATATATACATAGCAAAATTGAGTGTCATAATAATAAATTTATATACAGTTTTACATCATCTCATTTTGTCCCTAAAATAACTAGATGAGGTGAGTTAGGGAAGTAACTTACAGATAAATCTAAATGATTATATAAGGTCACACTGGTACTAAGTGGTAGTGACCAGAACCCAGTATTCTAATTCATAGGAAGTACTACAAATTCTACTAATACTTTTCAGGCCAGGCTGCAAATCAGAATTGCCTGGGAGGTTTATAAATTCATAAGGTTTTCTCTCCGGATTTACTTAACCAAAATCTAGGAAGAGGGACCTGATAATCTATCTTTTTAAGAAGTATCAAAATGATTATAGCACAGCCAAGAAGACATTTGAGAACCACTGCACCTGAATGACACTGATGTATTGAAATCATTTCCCCCAACATCAAGGTGTTCAAGGCATACAGAGATGCTGAAAAACTATACATGACTGAAGCGCTAGAGACTGAGGTCTATGATTACCAAACAAGAATGGTGTGAAAAAATAAAAGGTGAAGGTGGTAATTTCCAGTCATTGATGGTGAAGCAAACAGTGACTAGCAGGGATTTTTTTGTTTTTTTAGTTTTTTGTCTCAGGTGAGATCTCAGAACAAAGATATTATACTCTAATGAGAAGAACTGAAGAATGTACTGATCTTGAGGTTGTTAAAAGTTAGAAAAAATAGTGTGATACTGCCTTATAACTGGTAACCTTGGGCTCTCAGGAATGCTCCAGTGTGATCACTGCATCTCTATGGGGCACCCCTGCAATTATGGTTCAGAATACAAGATAAGCTCTGTCCTGATACCCTAACTTTTTATTGAAGTATAGTTGATTTACAGTGTTGTGTTAGTTTCAGATGTACAGCAAAGTGATTCAGATATATACGTATATATATATATGTATATATATATACACATATACATATATAAATATATATTCTTTTTCAGATTCTTTTCCATTATAGGTTATTACAAGATATTGAATATAGTCCCCTATGGTATACAGTAGGTCCTTGTTGTTTATCTGTTTTATATATGGTAGTGTGTATCTGTTAATCCCAAACTCCTCACTTATCCCTCCTCTCCCCTTTCCCTTCTGGTAATCATAAGTTTGTTTTCAATGCTGTGAGTCTATTTCTGTTTTTTAAATAGTTCATTTGTCCTGATACCCTAACTTTTTTTTTTTTTTTTTTTTTTTGCGGTACGCAGACCTCTCACTGCTGTGGCCTCTCCCGTTGCGGAGCACAGGCTCCAGACGCGCAGGCTCAGCAGCCATGGCTCACGGGCCCAGCTGCTCCACGGCATGTGGGATCCTCCCAGACCGGGGCACGAACCCGTGTCCCCTGCATCGGCAGGCGGACTCTCAACCACTGCGCCACCAGGGAAGCCCCTGATACCCTAATTTTATCGAGGAAATATACCAACTAGGCCATCCAAACACCATAGTTAACATTTATTTGTATGATGTGCTCTCTCCCTCGCTCCATGAGAACTTCAACTAACTTTTTCTCACTGCATCACCTCTTTTTTCCTAAGCTTTCTCTGATTCTTTTTATATCCCTTGTATATTTCATACCTCAAGGTGGCAAGATATATCAAATACTAAAATAGTAGCTTCACAGAGCCCTGATTTTCCGTAACTAATTTTAAACACAATTATCTAAATAATTTCATAGGAATAGTCATCTAAATTTCCTGAGTAATTCTGGTAAAGGTAACTTTTTTTTTCTTAAACCTTGAGTTCTTTCTCTTCCCTGTTTATTTAGGTTAGTTTAAAATAAAGAAATGCTCTCACCTCTGCCCCTTCTTTTTTATTCCTCCTCTTCCACTTGTTCCTTGTTCTTTTTAAAGTATCTGTAACTCCTAGCACATTCAGTATCGAAGCAAATCTACAACCTAACATGTTCTGAACTAGTATTTCTTGTTTTACAGGTATAAATTATAAGCTTCCTTCTGGTTCTGTAGCCTTTCACCCTTTCAGTTTCTATTCCCATTTCTTCTCCCAACTTGCTTCCCCTTTCCCCTTTTACATCTGTTAACATTAGTATATATCTGGAAGTATGTGGACATACAGCTCTTGGCCCTGGTTTTTTACCCTTAAGACTGAGAAACCTTTTAAAACCCTTCCTGTTCCTTCTTTTTTTAAAAAATAAATAATAAATTTATTTATTTTTGGCTGCGTTGGGTCTTCATTGTTGCACCTGGGCTTTCTCTAGCTGCTGCAAGCAGGGGCTACTCTTCATTGTGATGCACAGGCCTCTCATCGCGGTGGTGTCTCCTGTTGGGGAGCACAGGCTTGAGGCGCAAGGGCTTCAGTAGTTGTGGCATGCAGGCTCAGTAGATGTGGCTCATGGGCTCTAGAGCACAGGCTCAGTAATTGTGGCGCACGGGCTTAGTTGCTCTGTGGCATGTGGGATCTTCCCAGGGCTCGAACCTGTGTCCCTTGCAGTGGCAAGCGGATTCCCAACCACTGCGCCACCAGGGAAGCCCCCCTGTTCCTTCTAAAAACCCTAAATTGGGACTTCCCTGGTGGCACAGTGGTTGAGGCTCTGTGCTCCCAATGCAGGGGGCCTGGGTTTGATCCCTAGTCCGGGAACTAGATCCCACATGCATGCTGCAACTAAGAGTTCGCATGCCACAACTAAGGAGCTGGCGAGCTGCAACTAAGGAGCCCGCCTGCTGCAATGAAGAAGCCCAGGGCTTCCCTGGTGGCGCAGTGGTTGAGAATCTGCCTGCTAATGCAGGGGACACAGGTTCGAGCCCTGGTCTGGGAGGATCCCACATGCCGTGGAGCAACTAGGCCCGTGAGCCACAACTACTGAGCCTGCGCGTCTGGAGCCTGTGCTCTGCAACAAGAAAGGCCGCAATAGTGAGAGGCCCCCACACCACGATGAAGAGTGGCCCCCGCTTGCCACAACTAGAGAAAGCCCTCGCACAGAAACAAAGACGCAACACAGCAAAAATAAATTAATAAACTCCTACCCCCAACATCTTCTTTAAAAAAAAAAAAAAAAAAAGAAGCCCACGTAACACAACTAAGAAGCCAGTGAGCTACGACTAAGGAGCCCGCCTGCCACAACTAAGACCCGATGCAACCAAATAAATAAATATTAAAAAAACACTTTAAACTGACTACTTTCTTCCTAGAATTACCAATCCTGAATTATATTATCTAAATAATTTCATGAAAGAATTGAAAACAATTTATTGGTGCTTGAGTTTCCGTCCCCTAACTTCCATCTGATTTCCTTTATAATATATACCCCATTTGAGAGCATAACTGAGAAATATGACATTAAATACCAAGCTAACAAGAAAAATCACTGCCATCTGTTGTCATTTCTCCAAGCCTTACCACAGCCAAAAGGACCTGCTTCCCTATGTGATATATTTGTTTTTCTGTGAGGTCATACGGAAGGCCATCCATGGTCATCACATCCTAAATAGAGAAAAAAGCAGTACGTCAAAATGACATGAACAGATCTGAAAGAAAAGCTAGGGGTAGAGATATTCTTAAATGCAGTTATCAAAGCTAAGGAAAATACACAAAAATATAAGGACTATAAGATTCAAGGACAGATGATATGAGAGATTCTCAGATATGCAGAGAAGTACCATGATTTATTGGACCAGGAGAACAGTAAAGAATGTAGATGAATAGCAGAATGAAGAACAGAATAGCAGGTAAGAAAGACAAGTATATATAAGACTATCCATTGGATAAAGCAGCAATTTTCCTAAGGCAGAACATGTGTGTGTGTGTGTGTGTGTGTGTGTGTGTGTGTGAGAGAGAGAGAGAGACAGAGAGAGACAGAGAGACAGAGAGAGAGAGAGAAAGAGAGATTAATTAAGCACATTAACTCAACACATCTTGGCTGAATGCCTACTATGTGCCAGATTCCATCTTAGGACCTCAGAATACAAAAGTGAGCAAAATAAATATGTCTACGCCTTCTGGAGCTTATACTGTGGCAAACACATGTGAATCAAAATAAAATAATCATACATAAATACATGGTTACATATGTATAAGTGCCATGAAAGAAATGTAAAAGAGATCATATGATGGTGGAGGAAAGAGAGCTCATTCAGTTGGAGAAGCAAGGAAAGCTCTTGACGAGATCCGAAGAGTGAGCGGCCACTGACCCTACAAAGAAGGGAAAGGGAGAGAAGTCTGGTGTAATGAGAAAAGCATGTGAAAACAATCTGAAATAGAGAGGCATGCAGTCTGAAAAATAAAAAGAAACAAGTGAGGTTAGGGCACAGACCAAGTGACAGATGGTCTTAAAAAGTTTAAAATCTCATGATGTGCACATTGTCCTATTTGCATCACTGGATGGAAGAAGTCAACAAGGTCTCTTTTTCATACACACTTAGTAATAAAATGATCAGCCTACCTAGGAGGCTTGATTAATATTGAACTTTGCTCATCAGCAAGTGACGAGCTAACTAGGAAAACACGGAGCACTTCAAAAAGAGGAGTGGACAGAGAAGTGGTGAAATTGCAAGGAATAGGGCTTGCACTTTAGCCTGGAAATTTCTGAACATTAAAATTTTTCAAAATATGAACTGGAGATATACAAACTTGCAGGCTGAAATTTCCTTAACTCAGCCTCGGCACACTAGGGTGATGTTACAGAATGGAAAGTATACTTGACACTAACAACAAAATTATTACTAACAGTAGTTAGGTTGTTATGCAATTATCATTAAAACAGCTACCATTTTGAGTGCTTAATATGTTCCGATCACTATGTTTTTCCAGACATAATTTCCTTGAATTTTAATAAGTATTATTCCTCCCACTTTACAGATTCCGAAAACTCAGACTCAGAGAGGTGATTTGCCCAAAGTCACGTAGCTTGTAGGAGATGGAGCCCAAGGTCCATTCTCTAAATCTGCACCGCCCAATATGGTAGCCATTACCCACATATGCCTATTTAAACATATATTATTTAAAATTAAATAAATTTGAAAATTCAGTTTCTTAATCATATCAGCCTCATTTCAAGGGTTCTGTAGCCACATGTGATTAGTGGCCACCATAGTGGACAGAGCAGATATTCCATCATCACTAAAAATTCTATTGGTTGGTGATAATCACTCTGTTATGGTATTATAATGTCTCTCTAATTTGTCATTTGTCAGGCTAATTGACATGTGAACAGCTAATAAGCCAGGTCATGCCTTTCCTTCCCAACACCTCTACCCTACCACTTACCCGGCGACAGGTCCAGAGAAAGCTGAGCAGGTCCCCCTGGGCCACATCCTCCAACACCATATAGAGCGGCAGCCCTTCTGTGCAGCAGCCTTCCAGCTGTACCAGGTTCTTGTGCTTCCCCAGGTACTGATAGAACTGGATTTGCCCTAAGAACTCCTGCACCTCTTGGAGCCCAGCTGGTTCTGTGGAGGACAGAAGAACCATGGGGAGTGAGCAGTCAGAGTATCACCAATAAAATGGGGGTTCAAGTCAGGAAGCAACCTCAGATGATAAATTTCAAGGCTCCAAAGGGGAGTGAGTGTAGACAAAAGGTAAAAAGAAAGAGAATCAATTAGAAGATGATCTTCAATGTCACTGATCTTTTGTCAAAGGTAACATAGAACCGTAGGTCTTTAGAACTGGATGGGCTTTCCTCTGCCTAATAGACAAGTGCTCTGTTCACATTAAAATATTATCACACGTTAACATATTACCACTTCTAGACCTTTGGATTAATATTCTTGCTAATCCTATCCTTGTTCTGTTTCATGTATCCATCATTACTGGTCCATATCAATGAGTATCAGCAAAAAGAAGAAAAATGCAGTAACTGGAAAAGATATCAAAACAGTGAAGAAAAATGAAGAAACAACCACAAAATCCTCATTCAAGTAATATCTATATGGAAAAATCAGTTTTAACAGCCTTGATAGGCAAGGTTGAGCTAGGGAAAGACCCAAAGAAGAACCTTTCTGTTTCAGAGTTTTTACTTTCTATTCCCTTCTTATTCTGTGCCCAACTGTGACCACAACTGTTGATTAACATCTTAATGTCTGCAAAGCCTGTTAGCATTCACTGTTGAGGGCTCACAGTAAAAACAAGTTAAAAGAGGAAAGGAAGTCCAACACTTCTCCTTTTACCTTTTAAAGCCTTGAGGACGACACTCTTGGGCTCATCAGTGTCCCCAGTATATATCTTGGTTCGGTAGATGGTCCCAAAACTACCATTGTGGATTTGCTCCAGAACTTCAGAGAAGTGCTCCCGGGGCACCTGCAGCTTAGCCAGGGCATGTGTGGAAGTTCGTAGAAGGCTTTCCACCGATGTTTCCTTAAGTGGTACAAACACACTTCCTTCAGGTCTTGCTGCTTCCCAGCTTAGGCCCCTAGATGGAGGCACGTGGGCAACACCTAAAACAAAGAGGTGGCACCAACAAGCTTTTTCCTAGCCTAGGGACTCCAAGAAAGCAGAACCTAGAACAAACCATCAAGGAGTCCCTTCAGCAATTTTCTCTCTGGCCAATGTGAGGATACCTTCTGATGCTTCTCTATGAACCAGCATCAATACAAACCTTGTAGAAATTATGTAATAATCCCATTACTTCTAAGACAACTGGAGATGGACCTCTGAAAATGGGTAATGACATTTCATTTCAGTCTTCCTCAGGATTACAGTTCAGTATTAGTATGAAGACAATTAAGGAAGTTACTGAATAGGTATTCAAACCACAGACACCTAAATGCGGTGGTAACTGCCATGGAGACTATCATTAAAGTCAATCAAACAGCTTCCCAAGGTGGAGGGTAGGTATGGATAACTACTCAACTCTGAGTGAAAGTTATTCCTCCCTCAAGTTGTCCCCAAAATCAAATTATTCCATATTTCCAAGAGTCTCAATCAAAACATTCTTTTGGTACTTTCCCCCTTTCTAAACCAGCTTTTCTCCATTAGAGAAGAGAGATTCATTCTTTTTATTAAACTTTATTCATTCATTAATTCATCCATTTATTCAACAAGTATCACCTCCTCTGTGCCAGGCACTCTTCTAGGTGATAGGAAAAGGCAAAGTCCAGATTCTCATGAAGATTACCATCTAGTGGTAGGAGAGAGGAAGCAGATAATAATATACTAGGTAAGGAGTGTTATGGAGGAAAAGAGGGGAAGAAGGAGCATCAGTTATGCAATTTTATGTTTGAAGGTCAGGAAAGGTCTTTCTGAGAAGATGACTTTTGAGAAATAGAAGCAATTTGAGAGCAAACCATACTGGTATCAGGTAGAAGTGCAGAGGTTGAGGAAGGAGCATTTTTGACATATTTGAGGAAGAGTAATGAAATCAGTGCCCCTGGAACCAAGGGGAAAACTGGAGGGTTACAGGAGATGAGGCCAGAGAGGGCCCAGATCATGTAAGACCATTAAAAGAAATTTGTCTTGTACTTCCCTGGTGGCACATTGGCTAAGAATCCGCCTGCCCATGCAGGGCACACAGGTTCGAGCCCTGGTCCAAGAAGATCCCATATGCCGCGGAGCAACTAACCCCATGCACCACAACTACTGAGCCTGTGCTATAGAGCCCACAAGCCACAACTACTGAAGCCCGTGCGCCTAGAGCCCATGCTCCGCAACAAGAGAAGCCACTGCAATGAGAAGTCCGCGCACCGCAACGAAGAGTAGCCCCAGCTTACCACAACTGGAGAAAGCCCACGTGCAGCAACAAAGACCCAACACAGCCCCAAAAATTAATTAATTAATTATTTTAAAAAAGAATTTTGTATTTTTTCATTCTAAGTTGAGAAGCAACTGGGGGTTTCATGCAGAGAATTGACAGGATTGACTTATGCCTTAAAAGAATCATTCTGCTGCTCTGGGGCAATAGAGCATAAAAGGATACAGGCAGAAGCGGGGAAACCACTTAAGAGTGTATTACAATTATCTATGAGAGGTGAGGGTGGCTTGAGTCTATTTTGAAGACATAGTTAACAGGATTTGCTAATGGACTAGAGACGGAGTGTGACAGAAAGAGGGGTCAAGGACATCTTCAAGATTTTAGACTGAACATATAGGGAGCTGGGCTTGCCATTTACTAAGATAGGGAAGGCTGTTGGGAGAGGACATTGTGAGGGAATTTCAGGACCTTTGTTTTACACACATTACGTATTAGATGTGTACTAGGTCCAAACTGCAAAGTAGGTGGTTAAGTATAAAAATCTGAGTTCAAGGGGACTATAGTCAGAATTGAGAAAATAACTGAATCCATAAGACTGAAAATGAGATCATTTACAAAGTGACTGTAGATTTAAAAGGAAAGAAAAAAGTGTTTCAAGAAGAAGGAAGTGCAAAATAGTGTCAAATGCTTTTGACAGGTCAAGTAGGACGAAAACCCGAGAGCTGACACTGGTGATCTTGGAAAGAGTTCTTTTGGTGGATTGGGGGGGAAGCCCTGTTTTAGTATATGCTCAGAAGGGAATGTGACAAGTAGAAGTGGTGAGAGTGAGTTTAGATAAGTTCTTTGAGAAGTTTTTTGTAAGAGTGAATTATAAGAGACTTGGGATACAGTTTAGAGAAGGATTAGGGGTCAGCCACTGTAGAGTTTCATTTACTGTCAGGATATTTTTTTCCTTCTTTTTTCTCTGAGTTTCCTGTATGAGCTGATTCTCTTCCATTATATGCTCAGTGGTACCCCAGAATAGCACATTATCACCTCCTACCTAATGCTTCAAGGACTATTATGAAGGCTACCCCTGTACATCCTAAATTCCAGAAGCACAGGGTAGGGCTGTAATGCATTGTAGAGTAAAATGTCATCCTTCCAAACTGGTTACAAAGCCCTGGGCTTTACCCAAGCCTTGCTCCCCAGTCCTTAGACACTCACATGGCCAAAGATTTGATAGTGCAATAGGATGAAGAAGACAGAAACAGGTTACAGGAGGCCTCTCTTGCCTACTCTTCTTTCAGCTAACAAGCATACATTACATTTCCTTGAGAAGAGCTCACCCCCCTCTCAACTACACAGGAGGGGACCCATACCCACTATCTCATTGCAGGGTCCTCTAGACTTGGGCTCATTGAGGCTTGTGCTTCATTTTCTACAATCTCCGTCTTCCCCGAGCCACTGCCCAGCCCCAGTTTGAACTTTACCTCGTAGTCCAGGAGACTGCTGTTGCTCTCTTTGTTCTCTGATGAAAAGCCACAGGATGACCCCAAGGAGAATGAGGAAGATCCCAACCAGAAGGGTTGGAATGATGATGATTTCATACTGCTGCTCCTGGACAACTAGGTAGGAAATCAAGGAAGTAGAGAAGAGATTGAAGAAGCAGCCTAACCTGACTTCCCCTACCCATCGGTCTTCAGCTCACCCCACACGATCATCTCTTCCTCCTGATCCCTCTACCACAATCGGGATCAACTCCCTGCTCTGAAATCCCAACGTCCCTGTCTCTTAGCCCATGAAGTATGCTATGCACCTCGTCTCTCATTTTTCCTACTGAGTTGGAGGATGCAGCACATCTGGATCTATGATTGCCACTCTCCCCCCTCCGCCCAAAGCCACTAGTGCCAATTCAGTTCTCACCATTGCTTCATTTCTATTAGAAATCAAATGATCTTCCTTCCAGAATCTATTCAGATCTTAGGGCAGGTCTCTATATCATCTGTACTTACTACACAACTTGTCACTGAGACTGCATTCCAACAGCATCCGCGTCATGCGCCTCTCATCTCCCATTGCCACACAGCATCCAGTTAAGCGCCTGACCCCCAGAGGATGCAAAGAGCACTAGAGAATAATCCCCAAGGATTGAGTTGTTCTGAAAAACTAAAATAAAATGGAGCACACAGAGAATTTTAAAACACCTCTCCAAATAACTAGTTATTAAGTATACAGGTACCTGGAACGCTCCAAGCCACCAATTCATCTCTATCCAACTATCTGACATTCAAACTGGAAGAACGTTTTTTGTTTTTTTTTTTTGCAGTACGCGGGCCTCTCACTGTTGTGGCCTCTCCCATTGCGGAGCACAGGCTCCGGACGCGCAGGCTCAGCGGCCATGGCTCACGGGCCCAGCCGCTCCGCGGCATGTGGGATCCTCCCGGACCGGGGCACGAACCCGTGTCCCCTGCATCGGCAGGCGGACTCTCAACCACTGCGCCACCAGGGAAGCCCAAGATCTATCTCTCTCTTACAGTCCTTAAGAAGGTCTAATTTTCTTTTTCTGTGTATCCCCTAATTTTTAAACAAAACACTTAATTTCATTTTTATATAAAACTAATTCAGACAATGAATCCATAGTTGGCAGATTTCAAGAGAGATGAGTTATGCATTTGCTTTCCTTCTCTGAAACATCCCTCTACCGCATTCTCGCTACCAGTGAGCAGATAGCAGTTATCAATAAAACTATTTAATTCTGCAACTCTCGGAGCTTTCCCTGCCCTTCATATACAGATAGACACAGACACTCATTCTTACCAATACGTGGATGAAAGCAAGTGTCAGGACTAAGCCATCTTCTCTTCCTCTCTCTTTTTTTTAACAAAAAAGAAATATGTTCATATGATCCAAAAATAAAAATATAAAATGGTATACCATGAAAATCTTTTCCCCACCCCATCCTTCTCCATCTGTCCAGTTCCCAATTCTCCTCCAAGTAGACTATAGTTGTGAGTTTCTTGCTTACCTGACCAGAGATCCTTTACATGATTATATTCTATATCATCAGCATATATTTCTATAGAATTCTATATAATCAGCACATATTTCCAAAAACCCAATTCTTCCTTTCTGAAGAGAACTGGTGGTCACCGCTCTTCCATGTATATAAAAACTTTATTTTGCCCTTGGTTAACTTGATTCCATGGCCAGCAAAGCCAACTTCTTTAATTCTGATTGATCTGAAACAAATATGGTGATTTTTCACTGCCTAGGTAACTGAATATGTGATCTAGTTCTGTAGTGATTTAATAACAAGGTAAATTTTAGAAAATCATCATTGTAGCTTATATGATATTATACTATACTGTACACATGTGACATTAGCCATATTATGGTCCCATCTGTTACATTACATGTTGTGTTTTATTATTAATACTAATAACCACTAATACCTTATTGAGGCAGAGTGTCTCAGTGCCAGAAACACATATGTAAAGAAACCTCCCAGCCAGCTGTCTTCTTTTCACTATTCCTGGAGTTGCATGAGTTTGTCTGAGGGGATGAGAGTTAAACAATCCCCTTACAGCTCAGAAGAGATACAGGTGTGTGGCTGGTTGACGGAAACCTAAGTAAACAGAGGAGTAGCCAGGAGAAGGAACATCACAGAGAGAAAGTGAAATTCTTATCTGTGGGCTTTCGCATAGGGAGGGATCTATGAAGGCAATGAATGGTAAGATAGTAAAGTCCACCTTATCGAGTTTGCAAGCCAAAAAGGCAAGGTGAAAGTTCCCACAATTCCACAAGACTGCATGAAAGGGAAAACACTCATAAAAGGGCAAGAAACAGAGAGCCTTGAGAGGGCGGAGCAAAGAAGGTCCTAAAAATAAAACATTAGCTCAGCCGGGAGAATTCAAACATAATTTGCAAATGTCATTCTAATTCTTATTTTCCTTTCCTCTTACTTCCTTTTCGGTGCATTATCAGATGTAATTATTTTCGTTCAGGGAGCAGCCAGTTAAACGAGTTTGGCTCTCTGGGGAGTCGGTTCTGGGAGCATAATCTCTCTTACCACAGTACAAGAGGAAAAAAGGGTCAGGCAGCAGCCAGCTCCAACTCGTGAGCTCCGCCCAGAAACCAAACTACACACGTGCTGACGCACACTTGAGCACGAAATGTAAAGCCCTGTGCATGTGTCCCCACGTAGAGCTGCTCAGGTGGCCGCCCACGATGACAGCACATGGCCAAACATACCTGTGGCCAAGACCCCAAGTCCATGCCTATACCCTTTCACCTGGGTATCACACTTACTACAGAGCACCCACCTTGGGATACAACGTGACCTTCTATTGCATTTCCTGAGCAAGGTTCTCACCATGAGTTGTAATTGTGCTTAGACAGTTTATAGAGACTGGGCTTAACAACATGTAGCGGCCCAACGAAACTGGATGCTGAAGCAAGGAAATAAACCTATAATGTGGCGAGGGCCACTCAATAAATTGCTTTCCAGATGTTTGTATAATAAGCCCTTTCCGAAGATTACGCTTTGGCTAGAGGCATCTGTAATATACCAAATGAATGTAGAATTTTTAAGGAATACGCGCCAGGTATACCCCTATATCCATGGACGCCTGCAGAGGAAACTTACCCCACAGAGCCCTCCAAAGCACTTAGGTCACAAAGTTCTTATAATCACTTGTAAGAACAATATTTCTCTCCACATCATTTTTCTCTCTGCAGTTAGTTGAATACGAACATTCAATTACCACATGACTTGGCCTGCCCACTCTGTGTCAAGCTAAGAAAAGCCATGGCTAGATGAAAAAACCTTCTGGGATGGCCGTTCTTATGCATTTGATTCTAACCCATCTGATTATTAGAAGAACGTATCTGACCAGCATTTCTGTACAATATGAGCAATACTCTGTCCCCTTCAACTATATCTCACTGGGTTAAAAGAAAAAAATGTTCGCTACTGCTTCGTCTCTTAATTGGAGTGTAAAGTCCTTAAGTATGTAAAACACAACCCTATATGCCTTATCCTTTCATGCCACTGTTTCTCAAATTATTTTTAAAGGCTCCCCTCCCACCCGAGACCCCTGCTCTAGGGCTCAAGTAGATGTTCACAGCACCTGTCTGAACAATTGTGGTCCGTGGGTTATGTGGGAAAAGTCTACCTCCCCTACGGTCGTTAAGCAGGTCTAATTTTCTCTGTGTCTCACTTATTTTCTAAACAAAACATTTAATTTCATTTTTATACAAAGCTAATTCAGACAGTGAATAAAGAGTTGGCAGATTTCAAGTTCTCTCTTTAGTGCCATGTATTACTACACGTAGGGCATTGGAATCAAGGGTCGAGTGAGGTTGTGAAATTGTTAATTCTGATAACTATATTTGACAGTGGAAAATATGTACATAGCTTGCCTAAAGTTTACACATACGTATGGTGCCAAATCTCTCAGGCAGGGCTCTAATTAAAACAATATTATTGCCTCATTTGTGGTTATCCTTCCTTATTTTTTCTCTTTTCATTTGCTCCTGACTCTGTTAGCATATTAAAAGATTTAGCTCCGGGCTTCCCTGGTGGTGCAGTGGTTGAGAGTCTGCCTGCCGATGCAGGGGACGCGGGTTCCTGCCCCGGTCTGGGAGGATCCCGTGTGACGCGGAGCGGCTGGGCCTGTGGGCCATGGCCGCTGGGTCTGCGCGTCCGGAGCCTGTGCTCCGCGGCGGGAGACACCGCAGCAGTGAGAGGCCCGCGTACTGCAAAGAAAAAAAAAAAAAGATTTAGTTCCCCCGCCCCCCAAATCGAGAATCTAGAGGGACACAGAGCAGTATGAAGGAGATACAAATAGGAAGAGAATGAGAATAAAATGGGAAGCGAAATCCACCCCAAATTTTTTCAAGACTGCAGTCTAGAGACCATAGAAGTGAATGATCATGACCCAGCAATCCCACTACTGGGCATATACCCTGAGAAAACCATAATTCAAAAAGAGTCATGTACCAAAATGTTCATTGCAGCTCTATTTACAATAGCCCGGAGATGGAAACAACCTAAGTGCCCATCATCGGATGAATGGATAAAGAAGATGTGGCACATATATACAATGGAATATTCCTCAGCCATAAAAAGAAACGAAATTGAGCTATTTGTAATGAGGTGGATAGACCTAGAGTCTGTCATACAGAGTGAAGTAAGTCAGAAAGAGAGAGACAAATACCATATGCTAACACATATATATGGAATTTAAGAAAAAAAAATGTCATGAAGAACCTAGGGGTAAGACAGGAATAAAGACACAGACCTACTAGAGAATGGACTTGAGGATATGGGGAGGGGAAAGGGTAAGCTGTGACAAAGCGAGAGAGAGGCATGGACATATATACACTACCAAACGTAAGGTAGATAGCTAGTGGGAAGCAGCCGCATAGCACAGGGAGATCAGCTCGGTGCTTTGTGACCACCTAGAGGGGTGGGATAGGTAGGGTGGGAGGGAGATGCAAGAGGGAGGGGATATGGGGACATATGTATACGTATAGCTGATTCACTTTGTTATAAAGCAGAAACTAACACACCATTGTAAAGCAATTATACTCCAATAAAGATGTAAAAAAAAAAAAAAGTGAATGATCACAACTGGAATTGAACTAAGTATTCATATTAGCCCTCCAAATTCTTACACATATATCCAATGTAAGTACAATGCACACTGCATCTTTGCATCTGTTTTATAACACACAAAGAAAGACAGTTCTGTTTGCAATAATAACACAACTCTGATGAGTGACATTTCTGTTCAGTTAGCATAATAATGTCCCGGACATAAACAGCGATTTACTTGTGAGTGTCCAGAAGAAAGTCTTCTTATCAAAATTCATCTACAAATAGAACTTTAAAAATTAGATGCAGGGACTTCCCTGGTGGGCCAGTGGTTAAGACTCCAAGCTTCCACTGCAGGGGGCAGGGGTTTCATCCCTGGTCCGGGAACTAAGATCGTGCATGCCACAGGTTGAGGCCAAAAAAAAAAAAAAAAAAATTTAGATGCATTCTCCTGTACTCTGTCTGCCTATGTGTTGTGAGAAATTCCTCGAAAGACTGTATGACACATGGCCCCATCCCCATAAGGTGTAAGTAAATCTGTTTTGCCTGCCTCACCCTCAATCTTACCACCTGCATCTCTGCACAAGTGGATCTGCCAGCCATATTATCTTCATACAGACAAGTGCCTCGCTGCCTAGCTGGGCACTGCACTGGGTCAAGGGGCTTATTAGCTGTGGGCTATGGGGCAGAGGACACAAAGACCCAAAGTGAGGAAGATAAAATATGTGGAGATGGCACCCCGAGACAAGAGACCATCTGCCTCCTGGCTCTGTCACTCAGCCTTCCCTTCTCTTCCCCCATCATCCTTACCCCTGAGCTGTCTAGCCAAAAACTTCACTTAATGGAGTGACAATGTTAAGTTGGAAGCAAGATAGAAAAGAACTGCTCAGATCTAGAGGATTCCAGAATTACTTATCTCCAACATTCTGAAAACCGAGCTGTCCTTCCTGTTTTCAGATCCAATAAACATATATTGATGAGCTACAGTGTGCATGTATCATGCTAGGCTAGCCACTTTCACACACAGGAGGAAACTGAGGCTCAGAGAGATTAAGTTCTGAATTAGGGTTTTAAAAAAAACAAAAGGCAAGTAAATAAATGTCAGAGAAAGGTTTCATACCCCAGACTTTTTTCTTTCTTTTGGCCGTGCAGTTTGCGGGATCTTAATTTCCCGACCAGGGATTGACCCCGCACCCTCAGCAGTGAAAGCGCAGAGTCCTAACCACTGGAGCACCAGGGAATTTCCCATACCTCAGTCTTTTAACTACAAACCCAATGTTCTTTAAACTACTTCATTGGGACTTCCCTGGTGACGCAGTGGTTAAGAATCCACCTGCCAATGCAGGGGACACGGGTTCGAGCCCTGGTCTGGGAAGATCCCACATGCCGCGGAGCAACTAAGCTCATGAGCCACAACTACCGAGCCCGCGAGCCACAACTACTGAAGCCCGCGTGCCTAGAGCGCATTCAACAAGAGAAGCCACCGCAATGAGAAGTCCGTGCACCGCAATGAAGTGTAGCCTCCGCTCGCTGCAACTAGAGAAAGCCCGCGCGCGGCAATGAAAACCCAATGCAGCCCAATAAATAAATAATAAACTACTTCATTACGTGTATGTCCTTGCCATTCAAATGGACAAGACACATAGTGTCAAGAAGGAATTGTGTCAGAATGCAAAACAATCATGGAAACCACAAGGCTGAAACTAAATTTCACCAACAAATAGACCATAAATTGGAAAGAACAGGTGAGTAGAATCTGTGCGTTCTCCGAGGTCACCTAGGGGCACGTCTGCATGTCTGTCTTCAAAATGCTTTCTGAATATGAGTGTCGAATCAGAAATGGTTTCCAGTACTCACCAGGTGATGGAATCCAGGATCATTTTCTTTGTCTGTTCATTTTCCTGGATCTGAGCCCAAGCCTATTTCTATCTTCCATTTTGGGGAAAAGGGCCTGGTTTCCAGCACTAGCGATCTTCCACTGTGAGCCCGGGGCTCAGGAAAGGGCCAGAACCCCCAGCGGACAGAGCACTGGCCTAATCATTAGAGTTGCCCTGCCGAGCGCCTCAGGCTCTACCTTTCTCCTGCAGCGCACTCGTGAGAGGACAAGTAGATGAAAGGGCTTGCTCTTTAAACCCTGGGAATCAGACTTACAGAGATAACTCACCTTATGCCCAGGGATATCTCCTGGTGCAGATAAGGTGGAGAGGAGAGGAGGTAGCCAGAGAGAACCCCTCGTCCTCCCGTACTTCTCAGATATGGAAGGATTGTGACTGGGCTGATCTCCACCCTCTTCCACCTTCCTAGAGACCTAAGGCTTGAAATGCACTTTGAACCATAAAAAAAGAGGCCCTGCCATGCTACCTGGGAGTCCTGACCATGTTTAAACAAAATCTTTTGACGACAGGACAGAGCGTTATCAGCTCTTCTTGCTTATTTTTACCTGTCAGGAGTTTTTACCTCTTTGAGAATTCCTGAAATATACGTGATATGCAGTAGAGATGAGGAAGCCTAAATTGTATCTTGGCTTCTCCTGAAAAGCTTGCTCCGTAGGGGAGGACATGGAATGCAAGATACGCAGCCCCAGGATTCCTAGGCACGAGGTGCAGTGCTCACGTCACAAACAGCATCAGATTTTAAATATCATTACAGACATGAACACATTTTACGTCCTTTGAGGTGTTATACAAATTCGAGACATTTTGTTCTTATTATAATGATCATTTTACTTATCACATTCCCGATTCGATAACCCTGCATCCACCACGTGCAAACCTCCAAAGTCCGGAAATAATATATATATAATTATATTCTCTCATGGTGGCTATTTTCTCTTCCTGGGATTACTAACCAACAGCAATTTCCCAAGCCCATGATAAAGATTATTGATAGGAAGGAAAGGCCAATGGCTTTTTAGCTCCTTTGCTGCCTCCCAACGTCAACTCCCTGCAAAGTGCTGTCCACTCCCTTATTCATTGATTGAATATCAGTGACACGCTGGGCACTGCGGGTTATTACAAACAAAAAAGAAAGCAGGAAAGGCCAAGAACATACAATCACCACCTGCTCTGAAAACAGAGTTGCCTCTGATCCATTTATTTTCTCCTACCTGATGGACACACCAAAGATGCCTGTATGTGCTGCTTGGGGCTTGTTTCAAATACTTTGTTTTTACTGTTGTCAGTCACACTGCATTTCCAGGGACCAGTCCCCATCTTTGTGATTCACCCCGCTTGGCTCTTCCTTCTAAGGGGGAGCTTCTGGTACTTTAAAAATCTTTTGACCGTTTCCGTTTCCCCTATAAGTGAGGAGATCTATTTTGTTGTCCTGCCACGCCTCCAGCCTTTTCTAACACACAGCCCTCTGCAGAGAGGAGGGCAGAAAGAAGACAGTCTGATTAATTGCTGAACATGTCTACATTTAACTACTTTATCTT